CCTTTGGCCGGCACAAAACTATTATTATTATTATTATTATTATTATTATTATTATTATTATTATTATTATTATTATTATTATTATTATTATTATTATTATTAGTATTAGTATTATTATTATTAGTATTATTATTATTACTTCATATTTAAAATTAAATTATCTCAACAAATATGTTTGATAAGATTTCAGTATATTTATGATATTTTTTTAATAAAAATATTTAGTTAGAACTTATGGTGTCCTAAAATCAAACATTAAACATAAACTATTTGTGTGCGGAGAAACCTTAGAAGTTCTAATTTTCTTATTAGATATGGTGTATTTGATTGAGAGAAAATATTTCAGTATTGGATTTTTAACGGCTTTACGAAGATACTACCTTAATTAATCCTTAGCATACAAACCTTACAGCGGTTGAACTCAAAATAGTTAATTTTAGGTGGGAAAACGGGAGGGAAGTGTAGGGATGTATTTGAGGATTCCCTAAACGATGACGCCCTCGCCCAGGAGTCGCGTCGCCCGGGTGATGACCTGGAGATCCGTCCAGAGGAAACCCTGGCGTGTGAGCCAAGAAAGAATGGGTCTCCACCAACTCCTGAAATATAGGTGATCAATAACTTCCATGGAGATGAAGGGAGTGGTTGACGCCACTAAGGGTGATTGAAACCCTAGGACTCAGAGACCCCTATAAATGCATCTGCTCTCAAGGAGATAGAACACATCCCAATTAATACACATTTTTAACACCTCAAAAGAGCACAACACTCGTTACCATCTTAATACATGATGTGTATCCACAAGTGCACATATATGCAAGTTATAGTATGAAAAGTGTTGAACCCACGGAGACCAATGTCAACCTATTGTAGTCTATTTTCTCTTTATAAATCTAAGGCTATTGGTAAATGCTTTCCTAGCAAACAGTTTAAAAAGATCAGTTTCAGAATTAATTAAAATGGAGACCGAAATGTATTTTTCGGGATACCTTCGGAACTCAGATAAAATTTGGCACTTTGTTTAGTCTTAAAATATTTTTTCAAAGAAATTACTAATTTAAAAACACTACTCACTTTCGCGCAGCCCGTGTTATGTTTCGAAACCATGATGGCCATGTTGTCGCTCCGCAAGTTACAATTTCGAAATAATTTTTGAAAATCGATAAGTCCTAATTATTTAATAAAGGGTTGTCGCTGTTTTAAGAAATTAAAAATCTAAATTTTATGATCGGGTTCCGATCTCACACTGTCATGCTATTAACTGGTATATGAGTGCTTTCGCTTTCGCGCAAGAATTTTTAACTTTTAAAATAAAACTTAGAACCATAAAAATAATTTAATATTGAAAACCAGTGCTAATAAATTTTACCGAGTTCTATCGGATCAATGGTCCTTACATCCAGGACTCTCTTAATTTAAGTTAGCACATTGGATACGTGAAAAAGCATAAATATAATATCAATAACAGTCAATAAATTAGACATGTTCATGGAAGTAGTAATAGCAATGGAATATAAATTGATAATTAAAATGGTAAGGAAATATTAATAGCAAATTTGAAAATTAAAATAGCAACTAAGTAAAATCAAATGCAATTGAGTAAAAATGACATATAAAAGCTCTAACAATAACAATGGCAATAATAAACAATTGAAAGAGAAAGTAAATTCAAAGTAGTGTTGTTAGTGGGTGAATTCCTGGCTTCTTGTGGTCTATAACGAACGCCATGAGTACAAAAGGTGAAAAACGTGGGTTTTCAGGTCTATGTTCAGAAATTGGTCCCCAATTTTTATGAGACTTCTTTTCATTATATTCATAGGGAGGAGAACCAACTAGCGGACGCCTTGGCCACCTTATCATCCATGTTCAAAGTCAAGTGAGACAACGAAGCACCAATTATGTGAATTCAACGTTTGGATGAGCCAACATATTGTGTAGTAGTTGAAACAGAAGCGAATAATAAACCCTGGTCTTACCACATCAAACAAGTCCTCCATAAACAAGAGTGCCCTGCAAATGCTTCAAGTGGAGATAAGAAAACACTAAAAAGATTGGCATCCATATTCTTCCTCAATGGTGATGTACTTTACAAGAGAAATCGCGACATGGTCTTGCTAAGATGTGTGGATGGACACGAAGCAGACATGCTTATAAAGGAGATTCATGAGGGATCCTTTGGTACTCATGCCAATGGAGATACAATGGCGAAGAAAATTCTCAGAGCAGGTTACTACTAGTTGACTATGGAAACTGATTGCTTCATGTACGTCAAGAAGTGCCATAAGTTCTAAATCTATGCGGATAAAGTTCACGTACCGCCTACTCCCCTGAATGTATGGACTGCTCCATGGCCTTTCTACATGTGGAATAGATGTAATTGGAATGATAAAGCCAAAAGCTGTGAATGAACACCGATTCATACTGGTTGCCATCGATTACTTCACCAAGTTGGTAGAAGTTGCTTCCTACGCCAATGTGCCAAACAAGTGATTACCCATTTCATCAAGAAAGAGATAATTTGTCACTACAACATTCGCCATGAGATTATCACTGATAACGGGTTGAATATGAAAAACAAGATGATGGAAGAGTTATACGAGAGTTTTAAAATTGAACATCATAACCCACCACCATATAAACCAAAAGTGAACGACACCGTAGAAGCAACTAACAAGAATATCAAAAAGATTATCCATAAAATGGTGAAAACCTACAAATATTGGCACGAGATGCTCCCTTTCGCATTACATGGCTACCGAACTTTAGTTCGTACTTCGATAGGAACAACTCCTTTCTCTCTGGTATATGACACAGAGGCAGTACTCTCTAGTGAAGTTGAGATCCCTTCATTAAGTGTCTTGATGGAGACTAAATTGAAAGAGATGGAATGAGTACAAAAAAGATTCGACCTACTGAACCTCATAGAAGAGAAGCGTATAACTTCAATATATCATGGGAAATTATTAGTATCATTAGTATTATTTTATTTTTAAGGCATGTATGGAGTGTTTGCAGTCATGTTTTACATATACGACAATATTTTAAAAACCGGACCGGTCATCAAACCGGTGAAGGTACTTGGTACTAGTTCATTGGTCAAACCACTGGGCCACGGGTCGAACCGCATGACTAACCGGATTAAACCGAATAATTCGGCTGAATAAACCGATCTCTATAAAAAACTATATATTTAATAAATCGGTCAAACTGGATGACTCGGTCCCTAAAAAATATCACGACACCTACAAAGCTTTAAAATATCATAATTTCACAAGTTCATTTTTTAAATTCAAACTCTTGACGTAGTCACGCACAACAAAATAGTACAAAATACAAATCCAAATAAATTTTGAACAATATCTGATTACAAATGAAGAAAAATTGTTCCAAATAAATTTTGAATAAAGTCTACTTATATTTTAATTTTATTTAAAAAAAATATTATTAAAACGGCGTCGTTATTATGAAGAAAGAAAAAACATACATTTAAACCACATGTTTTCCAAAATCGCTGGTTCACCGATTTTTAGCAGTTTTAGTCGGTTTCCACTAGTTCAATAACATATCTGATCCAGCAATCAGACCAGACCAGTGATCTCTCCGACTCGATCAATTCGACTAACTAGTTAATACGATTTTTAGTTCGATTCAATTTTTAAAACACTGATATACGGAAGTCTTTTAATCCTTTTAAATTGTGTTAGTGAGCTTTATATTGTGTTTAGAGCATATCTTAAATTGTACTTTAGAAAGTTTAATTCAATTAGCTACAACTTTTATGTTTTATCCGACTTCTAATTCATTTATTTTTCATATCTAAATTAGTAATCAATCCAAAATTCTTGCGTTGATTTTTCTACTATAAACTTTCATAAAATTTTGACAATCACTTAAGTTATATTTTACGATGCGCTTTAGGCTACTAAGTACGTACACATCAAACATAATATTGACACTGACAAAAAGATACTAATATTAATTTTAAAAAAATAAAAAATAAAACATAATTATAATGTAAGTGTCCGACAATGACACCAACATAACCACATTTTTTCAAAGATAGGTGCTAAATAGATTTTAAATCATATTCTCACCATTTCTTATCAAACGCTTGCACATCCAATATCTCAAAACACTCCAACTTTAATTTTCATCAATAATAAAGAATAATCATATATCCATGACCTTTTGATCACCATAAACCATTCCAAAACATTAATTAGCAACTATTATTAAGTTGTCTAAATTAGTAATCATAAATTTAGTGCTTCTTTACTGAGAATAATATCATCATTCATTGTTTCTACAGATCTGATTGGTATGTTTTTAACTCCTCCAGTTAAATTATTCTTCATTTGATTAAGTTAAATTATTCTTTATGGTAACGATCTAAGTGATCAAATTAATATGGAGATATGATAATTTGATTGGATGATGTGTGTAGCAATATGTTACGGCCGTGAAAAAAATAGACATTCTCATTCTGTCTATGAAAAAGTATACACAGAGAAATATTTCATCATATTATATAATTTTGTATAAATCAAGAAATGGATAACAATCACTTTTGTATAATAGAGCGTTTTTATTTTGCATATTATATAATTTTAATTATCATTATTTTAATTGAAAAATATAATATATTAATTTAGAATATCATTTTTCATCATATTTTAACCTCTAATTCTAGTACTATTATTTTATATTTATAATATTTTTATAATATATAATTTGTCGAGGTCCTCATTATTACAATCTAGTTTAAATAATAAATTACTTAAATTTATTATAAAAATTATAAATTCGTGAGAAAATGATAATATCATATTTTTTATAAATATTTGGGATTGTAAAGTATAAATGAACTATATACTTCAAATATAGTCACTAACCCGAAAATGAAAAGAGAATAATAATTCAATTTATTATATGGTAAAAAATAATAATAAAGGGGAAAGAGGATAATGACATAAATTGATACAAATAGATAGTAGCAATTTAAATTATGCCTCTGTGTTTTTACTTAATTCCATTATGCTCCGTGGAGCTGGGGCCAGAGAAGGTTTAGGAGCACCAACTGGACCATACCCCCTTGCGTGGGAACCATGAGAAGATGGACCTTGATAAGCTGCAACAATAAACATTTAATTTATAATCATCGTAAAAATTAATTCAAATAAAATAAGAACACTTTATTCTTCTTCTTTATTATTATTATTATTATTAATTATTATTCTCTGAATCACTTTTATAACATAAAGATGAGGTAAAACTTACATTTCCACGTGATGACATTAGCACAATTAAATTCACACAATGATTCTGATAAGCTTTTCCAGAGGATACTTCTGCTGATGCAATTTGCCACGCACTCTGCTTGTGTTAGTGGTTTTTTACCATTGAAATAAGTCTCACCTTGAACAGTTACAAGGCACACTACCAACAACAAAGCAACAAGTTGGTTTGACATTTTATTTTGAATTTGTAAAACTTTAATCAAACTTTTATTATGCTTTGTTGTTGGTAGTTTTATTATTTTCCTCTTTCCCAATTTGTTTCTGTGGAATATGGAAAGTATATATACATGTTTTTGTGGATTGTGAGCCACAAATAATGTCAATGTTTGTTACTAAAATTTATTTGGCTTCTGTTTTCTTATCTATTTTTTTATGACTTAAGAATAGGGAGGTAAAGAAGAGTTCTGTTCTCCAACCATTTGTGTGTTCAACATTGATTTCTGTGTATTCTTTAACTAAAATGACGTGTGCTCAAACTATACGTTTTACCTTATCTTGTTTCATAATTATAATTATAATTTTTAAAATTATAGATTTATAAAGTGTGTGTGTGTGTGTGTGTGTGTGTGTGTGTGTGTGTGTGTGTGTGTGTGTGTGTGTGTGTGTGTGTGTGTGTGTGTGTGTGTGTGTGTGTGTGTGTGTGTGTGTGTGTGTGTGTGTGTGTGTGTGTGTGTGTGTGTGTGTGTGTGTGTGTGTGTGTGTGTGTGTGTGTGTGTGTGTGTGTGTGTGTGTGTGTGTGTGTGTGTGTGTGTGTGTGTGTGTGTGTGTGTGTGTGTGTGTGTGTGTGTGTGTGTGTGTGTGTGTGTGTGTGTGTGTGTGTGTGTGTGTGTGTGTGTGTGTGTGTGTGTGTGTGTGTGTGTGTGTGTGTGTGTGTGTGTGTGTGTGTGTGTGTGTGTGTGTGTGTGTGTGTGTGTGTGTGTGTGTGTGTGTGTGTGTGTGTGTGTGTGTGTGTGTGTGTGTGTGTGTGTGTGTGTGTGTGTGTGTGTGTGTGTGTGTGTGTGTGTGTGTGTGTGTGTGTGTGTGTGTGTGTGTGTGTGTGTGTGTGTGTGTGTGTGTGTGTGTGTGTGTGTGTGTGTGTGTGTGTGTGTGTGTGTGTGTGTGTGTGTGTGTGTGTGTGTGTGTGTGTGTGTGTGTGTGTGTGTGTGTGTGTGTGTGTGTGTGTGTGTGTGTGTGTGTGTGTGTGTGTGTGTGTGTGTGTGTGTGTGTGTGTGTGTGTGTACGCGCGCGCGCGCGCGCGTGCGTGCGTGCGTGCGTGTGTGTGTGTGTGTGTGCGCGTGCGTGTGTGTGTGTGTGTGTGTGTGCGTGTGCGCGTGCGTGTGCGTGTGCGTGCGTGCGCGCGCGCGCGTGCGTGTGTGTGTGTGTGTGTCTTGTAGCTTCAGTTTGTGACGTAACCACTACCGTATTTTGTACTTCTTTCGAATTTCTAATATTTATTCTATGATGATTAAAAGGAATGAGAAAAAAATCTAAATTAACCACGCGTGCAAATGTTTTTCCTACAAATGCAAAGAGATCTGGAATCGGGGATTGGTTATACAAATGGAAGATATTAACACGCTGAGTATCTTTAGTAATCTATAGGAACCTTGATTGTATATTTCTACTGTTGAATTACTTGCTTGCTTAGGTTTGTCTGCCGTTTAAATGGGAAGGTTTCTCCTTTGTGAAAGTTGAGGGAATGTTTTTGTTTGGTGTTTCTATGATTTTCTATTGTTTTTGGAAGGTATCGGGAGCTAAGGTTTTTTTTAGTGTGCTCGCTAAGATCTCGCAATCTTATGCCTACGTATTCTCTAAAAGGAAATTGAGAAATCAGAGCGCTCGTAGTTCCTCCTAATCTATGGGAGGAAAAAGTTTGTTTTATATCTTGTTTAAAGCCCAAGATGATGAAGCTAATAAGAGTGTTGGAAAGACTTGACAAATTGTCATCTTTAAGGGAGATATCTCACTTATTCACTACAATCATATGAGAATGATGTCATAGGGGAAGAAAGCTTTGACTTATTGTGTTTAAGCAATGCCACTTTTTTCTTTATGAATTCTTTACATACTAAGAGAGAGACCTTAACTTGTATATAGGATCGACAAATGTGCCACTTACATTAGTTAGATGAAAGAAAAGATTTTGAACCATGATAAGAGAGAGACTCCAGCTTGGATTTTGAATCAACAAGTGTGCCACTTACATCACTTATATGGAAAAGGGTTTTTAATTTTTGATTTGAATTATAGTGATTAAAAGAGATGTATTCCTACAGAGATGACTCAAAGTCTCATCTGTAAGGAGATTGATTTATGTATCTTGATTGAAGCTCTAGATATGAAGCTAAAAGATTGAAAACTGACTCAATTAGGGAGTTTTATCTATCTTGTACAAAGTCCAAGATTGAGGTTGACTGACTGGAGAAATTAGTTGTTATAAAAAAGCCTGAGAGGATGCTAATGATTGTTGAGGAAATTTGAAGAGACTGACTTAATACTAAGGATTTGACTGACTCTTTTGGGGATTTGTATCTTGTACAAAGCCCCTGATGAATGAGGCTAAAAGAATTTATTTGTATCCTGTACAAAGCCCATGATGATGAGGCTAAAAGATTTATTTGTATCCTATACAAAGCTCAGGATGATGAGGCTAAAAGAATTTATTTTTATAGATGACCAAAACTTAACTTATGCTTTTGAAAAGCCTGAGGTTCCTTGTATGAAGCCCAAGAGAAGGCCGTGGGGAATTGAATGAGACTTCCCAAGTCTCCTTGTATGAAGCCCAAAAGGAGGTTGTCTTGCTGGGGGAATTCTTTGTATGATGTCCAAGAGGAGGCAATGATGCTTGTATAAGGCCCAAGAGGAGGCCAGATAACTAGTTGTTTGAACTAAGTTGTCATTGAAGAGATCCTATTGTTTGACCTATGTCTAAACTAAGGATGATGTAAATGTCAAGAAAAACTTAACAAAATATGAACAAACATGAATGAAGATTCAAAAGTATAGACATGTTTGAATTCGTGAAAGATTGCACATCTTTTAGGGTTTGATGTGTTGAATGTTTTATTTGTGTGTTTTATTATGTTCACAAAGGTGTTGGATCTTACACTCTAAGCAGATGCCCAAAATAGTCTAAAAGTTGAATGCCACTAAGGCTGTGTTTGATGAAAGTTGAAGATTTGAGTTTTGAAAGATTGAAAGCTTTGAGAAATTGAAGAAAGTTTTGAGAAGAGGGAAGGGACTTAAACTCTAATAGAGGCCCAAGAGAGTTTAAAAGTTGATTGAAAAGATGATGTGTATCTCAAAGAGATATCTTTATCATGGTAAGAGTTTATCAAGGAAATACTTGAACATATAAGAAAAAGTTTAAGCCATGGAAGAGTTTACAAAGAAATTCAAGCAAGGATACAAATTGAACATGTTAGTAACAACCAAACATGGATATTAGGGTTCAAACATGGTTTTGAACAAAGTGGAAACATCACAAAGGTTCATACAAACAAACATACATATAAAAGTATTTTCAAGACAAAATTCAAGTGTTTTAGGAGCATATAAACATGGTATAATCAACACAAAGACATATGTACATATCAAAGTGGTATAAACATGAAAGAGAATCAACATGTTAAGGAAAAAGATCAAGCAAAAAAATTTGTGGTATGATTAAAAGTTCAACATTCATTTACATGTAAACATACACTTGAAAATGCCTTAAAACCAAGTAAGGACAAGTATGTATAAATTCAAAACATCATTTAAGATTCATAAAAGATGTATATGGTTCAAAAAAGTTAATGTAGCCAAGGAAAGGCAAGGAACCATTCAAAAGAATAAAGTAGAAACTTAAGAAACCCTAAAAAGTCACACACTTTAAGCATTCATAAATATGAGAAAAATAATTATTTTTGATATTTTATTTTCACAACTATAAAATAGACATTATCATAAACAATTTACAAAAAGAATGGGTTTAAAATGATAAAAAAAATGAGAAAGTTATGGACATTTGAACTTGTGAAGGAAAGTAGGAAAATAAGTGATAAAAAATTGGGAAATGGTCCCCATGGGACTTGAACTCTGGTTCCCTCGCCTACAGATAAAAAAAAAGCCAACTCAACCACACGTGCATGGTGACTAAAGGGTGGAAGATGGTTATTATATGTGTTAAAAATTTAAAAATAAGAAAATAAAATAGAACTGGGGCAAGGGGGGATTCGAACCCCAATTCTAATGGTCAAAGGTTACAAAGGCATGCAAGTTAAACCACTGGGGTGGTGATACATCCTTCTATCAAACGACACCCATTAAATGATAAGGGTGAACATGACCTAGGCCTGGCCAGAACAAAGGCGCCATGACCTGGTTGGCTTGGGCAAGGACCAAGTTTTCTTCATTTGCAAGAAGAGAATAACTTCTTCATTTCTCCATGAAAATGGATGAAACAAAGATGGACCCTACCTAGAATTTCATGAGGTATTCAATGGTGGTTTTATATTTTTCTAAAAGTACATACATTTTAAAACCCGATAGTGGTTCCTAAAAGGCTTAAAATTTGCAAGTTTTATGCTTAACTATATACAATCAATAATAGCACTATAAAATGATTCTAACATAGAAAGTAAGACATATATGACATGATTATGATCAATGTACATCAAAGCAAAGCATATTTCTCAAAGTTCAAGTTCTTTGGAAACTTACCTCTTGAAGCTCCCTTTCCAATTTTCAAGAAACTTGCTATATAAGTAAGTCAATTCTTTGGACACCTCCAATACACCTTAGAGAAGCCTCTTGGATGCTTGGAACCAAAGGGAAACCTCTAGAACATATTTCGGCTCCTTCTTGCAAAATGTATCAAAAGTGGCCAAAATGGAAACTCTACCAAATGGTGTTACAATTGAGAAACTATGCTTAGAAAAGTTTAGGGATATTATTTAGAGAGTGTTTGAAGTGTTGGATGGTTCTGAAATGGACAGCATCAAGACATGACTTTGAAAATGCAGAAAGTCAAAGATATGAGGTTTTGATAGTTGAGTTTCTGATTTTGGTGATTTGGGATGAAGATGAAGGTTTGAACACCTTCAAGGGATAATTTTTGATGTGTTTGGATAATTGTTTGAATGGTTTAAGCTTTGGTTTTGAAACTAGAAGTTTACAATTTGAAACTTTGAAAACTTTGAGTGAAAGAAAG